AGACCGAGTCGAAGGAGAAGCTTCCGGAGGAGCCCGGCCCAGCCGGTCGGGGTCAAAGCACCGGTCGTACCATGCGTGTGGCATTGGTCGTAGCGACCATGGACACATCTCTCCCAAACATGAGCAGTTCGGACCCTCGGCACATTCAGATTTCTCATGAGAATTGAGCTAAAGAGGTTTAATCCAAGGCACTGCTAGTGAGCTGGTGACTGGATGAACAAGAACAAGCGCTAAGCCGCGCCAGAAAGGGGTACACGGTATAAGTATGAGACAGTGGTCGCAAAGCGGGTGTTGTGAAACATATATGAAACATAGGAGTTACAGTAAGTCGAATAGGGAACTGCGAGAAAACCATTTGTTTGGGCGCCTGAGGTTTGCCTCCTGCTGCAATATTTGATCATGTTGGTTCTGTTGTCATTTTGTATTCTGAAGATGTTGGGATCAAGAAACTGAGAGTTGATGCCGCACTGTAATTGTGACATGTGAACAAGAGTGTTTCCAGATGTTCTTTGGAATGCCCTAATTACTGATGAATAGGATGATATATAGATATTATAGGGCTGGGTGTTTTTTTTATGCTAATGTTTTTTTTTTCTTATGCTCACAGCGGGGTTGGTGTGCTTTTGGGGTATGGGTTTCTTTTTTTTATGCTTTTAGTGCTTTTTTTTATGCTAATGGTTTTTTCTGTTATGCTTGCAGTTCTTTCTTTTATGCTCCTGGTTTCTTTTTTTATGCTAATGGTGTCTTTTTTTATGCTAAGGGTTCTTTTTTTATGCGGCACTGTGGGAAGCGGTCACGTTGGGGGTCCTAGTGCAGAATGTAATTGTCAGGAGGGTTTAGTGCAGAATGTAATTGTCGGGAGGCTTTAGTACAGAATGTAATTGTCGGGAGGTTTTAGTACAGAAAGTAATTTTCGAGAGGTTTTAGTACAGCAAGTAAGTGTCGGGAGGTTTGAGTACAGAAAGTAATTGTCGGGAGGTTTTAGTACAGAAAGTAATGTCGGGAGGTTTTAGTACAAAACGTAATTGTCGGGGGGGCTTTAGTACCGAATGTAATCGTCGGGGAGTTTTAGTACAGAATTATAAATGTCGGGGGCCTTTAGTATCGAATGTAAGCGTCGGGGTGTTACCGAATGGACAATTATTCATGAATGAACCGTTCAGTGAAAGGTGATGCATTCGTCAGCAGAAACCGAAAAGTGATGAGTTCCAGTATCAACTGATATCAATTGTTTAAATGAACGATAGAAATGTGGCCAAATGGGCTCCAGTCAGAAATCAGGGTCGCTTCGTGCGGTGTCTGTGTCGGTCCGTCCGGCATGGGTGGGCAGTGATCAAGCTCCTCTCTCGTTGGATCTCCTCGCTGGAGTTTTTTGGTTTCCGCCAGCAAAGAAGTTTTCATCGGGGAAGAGTTTGCATGTCACCATCCAAGAAAAGACGCGACTTCCACAGAGCCTCTGCTCATGCCACGCGTCAGAATGCTTCCGATCGAAAACAGGGCCGTTCTTCTGCCAGCCGTTGTTCTTCCCGACGCAGAAGGGCTTTGTGGCTGGCATGGAGGGCAGATGGCCATTCCACCATTCCATCAGACAAGGTTTGGTTGTTCTACCGTCTCGCCCTTGCCGCCAAAACTGGAACTGGAGTGTTGGGCGAATTTCTTTGCAATTCCTTGCCTGTGCAGCCGCCGGTCAGAACTCGGCAACGAGATGTTTTTCCCTTGGCCCCGCTTGGTGGTAGCATGCTGAAGCCTGTAGACATGACAAGTGGCAGGTGGAGCGTGCTCCTCCAATTCATCAACGTGGTCATTGGCATTCTGAACTGGTTGCACGGCATAAAGCAGACAGTGCCGACTGGCAAGCACACGTTCGCTCAACAAGCAGTTTTGAAAAACATCGTGGATCGCACAGTGTGGACACTCACACGCCTGCAACATGCGCAAGATGGCTGGGAGCGGTTTGTGCCAGATTTTGTGCCAGGTTTCACTGCAGGTACAACTTCTTTCCAAGACTTGGTTGCTGACAGGGTGGACAACTTGCAAGCGGCTGGCTTATGCGATCCTTTGCCGCACTTGCCAGCCCATGTGCGGGCCAGCTTGGCAACACCTGAAGGAATCCTTGACAACAGCGATGATTCTTTGCGTGTTTTTGAACCTTTCTCCTTAAGGGCCCGAAAGACGAATATGCAAAATTGGTTGTCAAGCAGCTGCGGTGTGGTAAGTTGAGTTTAGCAACTTTTTGCAAGGGTGGTGGTACCACTTTCGCTGTTGGGAAGCCTGGGGGTGAACGCCTGAGGGAGGTATGGCACGGCCGGCGTGTTTCAGAATCAGCTTCTGCACCTCCAAAGCCGAGACACTTGGCTTCCCCAACTGCGTTGACCTTTCTGGAGTGCAGCGATGGAAGACCACTACGCCTTAGCAAGCGCGATGCTACGTGTTGGTTTGACCAGTTGAAGCTTCCCAGCTCTCTTCGTCGATACATGGCCAAACCGCCCATCTCCACAGTGGAACTTGTCAATGCTGGAATGTCAGTGGCGGATCAGCGGCAGCACATGGAAGATGGACATGCTTGGCGCGAAGGTTTGCTATATCCTTTGCACTGCGTCTGGCCTATGGGATTTTCTTGGTCTTCTTACATAGCCCAAGAAGAGATGCTGAGTGTTTGTCAAGATGCTGGCATACCAACTTCATCTCTCTTGGCTTGTGATTGCGTGACACCTACATCGTTTGAGCTTGTTGCTGCGGTGGCCACCGATGATGTCATGATTTTCAGCGACGCTGGCCCTGGTGCCACCTGTGAAGCAGCAAGAGCTTTCGATGCAGCTATGGATGCACGATGCGCAGTCCGAAATCTTAAGAAGGACGTTGACGACGCGCTCTGTGGTACCTGTGTTGGGGTTGACTTAGTAGACGGATACTTTCTGGATGTGCCGGGGGGACGCTACTTGGCCATGATTCTGACAAATTGAAGCTTGAGCACTTTTCCGACATCTTCAGTGTTCGCTCCAAATTTCATGCACACATCAACGTCCTGGAAGTTCGGTGAGGCATTCGTGCTTTTCTTGAAGTGGCTTCTGCGGTCCACCAAGCACCACTCGACAAGAGTTGTTGTTCTGCTTGACTCTGCAGTTTTCTGGGCGCGGCCGCGAAAGGGAGGTCATCTTCACAGTTGAACAGGCTGTTGCGGAAGGTCGCTTCTCTGGCGATGGCTGGAAATCTTCAGCTGCATTTTATCTTTGTCCCCTCCAGCGAAAATCCAGCGGATTTCCCTTCGCGTGGCAAGAAGAGGCGAGCGCGAAAGTGAAGCAGCTCTAGGCTGCACGGAGTTTTTCGGAAGCCCTGCCTTTGTGGGCAAGGCAGGGGTAAAATTTAGAGAAGGAAGTGGTCATTCCAAGTTGACTCACCCTTTGGTGAGCCACCCGAGGGTAAAATTTAGAGAAGGATGTTGCCAATTCAACTTGGCTCACCCTTTTGTGGGCCATGCAGGGGTAAAATTAAGAGAAGGATGTTGCCATTTCAACTTGACTCACCCTTTTGTGGGCAGGGGTAAGATTTAGAGAAGGATGTTGCTCTTCCAAGTTGACTCACCCTTTGGTGAGCCACCCGAGGGTACAATTTAGAGAAGGATGTTGCCATTTCAACTTGACTCGCCCTTTTGTGGGCAGGGTAAAATTTAGAGAAGGAAGTGGTCACTCCAACTTGACTCACCCTTTTGTAGGCCATGCAGGGGTAAAGTTTAGAGAGGGAAGTGGCCATGCCAACTTGACTCACCCTTTTGTGGACCCATGCAGGGGTAAAATTTAGAGAAGGATGTTGCCCTTCCAAGTTGACTCACCCTTTGGTGAGCCACCCGAGGGTAAAATTTAGAGAAGGATGTTGC